AATGAAGCGAGTAATGATGATACCTCGACGAGGCCCCGTCTGACTGCAGTTCTCATGATGGTATTGATCAAAATGGCCACATGAATGATTGCATGGCTTGGATTATTGATGGTCGCGAGGAGAACGAGTGTAATTAAATAGTCCCCTGTGTGTGCTCGGGTCACCCTGATGGCTATCAGCATTAAACAGGAGGTGGGCAGGGGGGGACGAGATACAGATCAATAGTAACGTGTCGGATTTCAAAACTGTAAATTGTGTCAAAGGAAATCATCGAGACCAAAAGGTTCAGGCTGTCATTCCTCCCCTCCCGCCCCCACATGTTTAGCAGAACCGACTTCATCAAATCAAGAACGACGCCATCAAACGTGAGGTAATTCTTCTTCATCGGAGCTAATTTTCTGTCATGTTCTCGTGTCACACATATGTCCAAATCTTCTTTTCGCACCCCCCCCCACCCCTCGCTGGGCCTGCATGGTGACCTCCTCCATCATCCGCAGCAGAGAAGGACTTTGATTCCCATTTCAGCGCCTCGTCTCATCCATCTCCCACATCCCTCCATTGTCTGAGGCCGCATTTAAATGACAGTGATACATACGGCACATTACAAAGACAAAAGGTCGCGTTTTTGCTAGCGTAAAAGCCGTGACAAGACCATGCTGTGGCTCGCTGCATAAAAAATTCATCTTTTTTTTTCTTTTAGGTAACCCCCTAATGACGGCATCCAGAGACTTAACCGGCTGAGGGGTGTACGGGGATCCCATTAAAATGCACTACAGAAAATGAGATTTGGGGGAGCCCTGTGAAAAACCATGCATGTAATCATCTCTCTTCCTCTCTCAGTTTATCTGCAAAGGATTTGGAGGCAGCTTTGGTTCCCCCACCACCCCTGCACCTCAACACCACCCCCACCCCCCCCGATACCACATATTAATATTCATAGAGAAGACTCTCTCCTTGCTGTTGCTGCCCGTGGCCCACAGACTTGGCTGATTAGGAATTTGGAAGATGGCYGAATCTCTTCAGAGCCTCTGCAAACCGACTGTGTCACACATCCTCCCTGAAACAGTGTTTGTGCATCTTTGTTGTCAGCAAACTATCCCCCCCCCCACCCCCACACTTTTTTTTTGGTTAGTTGCCTGTTTTTCAACCGTGGCACATTCACGCCTCAGTGCTGCAGCGTGAGTGCACGGGCCAACGGGTTGATGGTGCGGCTTGTTATGGTCAAAATCACCACGGTGGAGTGAGTCAGAGCGAAACAGAGTGCTCCACTTTCCTGCTCCGGTTCATGATGAACTCTAAAGACACAAAGAGGAGGTGAGTCATGTCTCCCATGAGCAGCTTTAGTGATTACATGCTTTATGTTTTGAAGTTCACCTTGCAGAACAAGAAACTATGGCAACACAATCCTGAACACTTTCTGCACTATTTTTACCCTCTCCAAAGTAATCATACTAAAACTGTAATTTTAGTAAAATAGTATTTACATGGACCACAATGAAATCCAGTCAAAACTAATCAATATTTCTGAGGTTTGGTAAGACAATTATCGCCTTTCCTCAGAACCCTAAACTGTTCCTTCATACTAGTTTGGTTTCCCACCTTTTTCTTCAGTCATTTCTCGTCCTGGTCCTTCAGCTGTGACAGATGCCAGATGTTGGTCCAAATGCATTATGCAAAACTTCCAGCTGTCTCTCCACACAGTGTGCTCAGGTTCACACGTACACTCTAATGCAGCACAACGCAACTTTTCTCCAAAGTTTTCCCTGACTCAAAAGCATAAAGCCCACTCAGTGTGTAGCAGATAAAAATAAAAACACTCAGATTAGCAGATTGTTAAAAACAAAAGAGGTTATTTAAAAGATAAATAAAAAAGGATGCTCTTTGTCATGAGGGGTATGGCTGTCTCATTCAAGGAGAAAGCTATGCCTTATGAATAAAAAAAATAAAGAATTTGTGAACTGAAACCTTTTATTGGCAGATGCATTTCCTTATCTGTGTCATGGTTTGAAAGAGAGATGGACCCAAGAATGCAGATTAAGACAAGCTGCTCAAAGGAACTAAAAAGCGGAGAACAGGACAGAGCGTGATGCACAATGCCAGACTGCAGATGGACTGGGAGAATAAGCTTAATAAAGCTGGAACTGATGAGGAAACATGTGGGACTAATGAGCACAGGGAACAGGTGTGAGTGGGCGGGGCAGGGCAGAGGAGAAATGAACCGGTGGCTCAGGGAACTGGAGAAAATGTAGGAAATAACATGAAAACACAAAGAGCAGCATGACTAACATGAGAACTAAATAGTAGGGTTGGTCATAATCGTATCGTGTGCAATTAATRGTCAGAAAAACATTAATCGATTATTTTTTTGGCACTTGACAATTAATACGATTAATGCCACCAGGCAGACTGGAGTTTTCTCCAAACAGTCCACTCAGTGCTCCTCTCCGCTTCAAATATGACAAACATGAAGAAAAATTCTGTATTTTATTTATATATCAACAATTTAAAATTTGATGTATAGCCTGAAGTCTGTAATTTTGACACAATTTGGAACAGATTTTTACAAAGAGCAAATCTTTCCCACTAAATTGGTCATGTGACCAGGACATAAGGGTGTCCAGGGACTCCAGGGGATTAATTGTCAAAATAATCGTTATCGGCTAAACACCACAATTAATTGTGATAAAACTTTTTTGCCAATATCACCCAACCCTACTAAATGGACAAAAATAAAAAGCTGCAAGAAAATCAGAATCTGATTTATTTCAAGTCTCTTTATGCTGTAGCTCTGCGCAGCTACAAGTATAACGATGCAAAGTTCAACTTAAAGCAACTTTTTATTTCTACAAGTTTATCAAAAACACTTGTAAAAATGGACTTGATTTGAGTGTCACAGTCTGCTGCCAAGGGGCCTCCACCATGACACAAATAAAATGACATCATCAAATACTTTAATTTACCCGTCAAGCACCTGTTGCTTCAGTCCGTTTCTGTCGTTTAAATCTAAACGTTATATTAATGTCAGAAAGTTACAAAACTCTGGATACAGACCAGGAGATGCATTTAACTGCACAACAGCTTACACACAACCAACAATGTGTTTAAATGCTTCACATTGATGAAGATTTCTGCTCCTGCTCGAGGCTGCAGACAGACAGGAAACACGAGGAGAAGCAAAATAGTTCACACGCTGCAAATTACAGGATGAGAGTTTGAAACCGCGAAGCCACACGAGCACTTTCTCATTATAGTTTGAAGTTGGCTCGGTGTGTTTAACGGCGTTAAAAACTAATACAGAAAAGATGACAGCATGGCTAGTGTAATATTTTCTCGCACAGATATCCGTTAAAGGCTGAAATGTTTGGCTAAAGCCTCTGCAAACATTGGCCCGAGGGCCGTGTGACCCTCTTCTGCAGAATACACTCGAGTGAGTTGAGAGCTCGAGTTTGTGCTCTCTCTCTCTCTCTCTCTCTCTCACCGCTCTCCTCTTTCACATGTAAATGAGTCTTTAATCTCCGCTGTTCTAATAGACAACCATGGCAACCAAGGCAGGCCTAATGAGGCAGAGGCGCAGGTTCAAATCTGCCTGCACGCCGGCCCCCACTCACACCGTCAACAGTTTAAACAAACACCGACGCGCACCTTTCAGCTCGCTGCGCACACACTTACATCCACATGTAAATCACGGTCTGTTATTTTAACACCTTCATTAGCATGTCAACAACACACCGAGCAGAAATCCCATGAATGTTGCTTGATTTGGCTGCTGCGGGCTGAAAAATGAGCGACGGAGGGCAACTTTAAGTACGTATGTTTGTCGATCACTTGTTGGGATAATTAATATATTCAAATGAGGTGATACATTATTTATGGAGCAGATTAAAAAACCCGAGCGCTACGCTTCAGACGATGAAGTTGCAGCATTTAGTGGAAGTCGGTGTTAAAAATACGAGGGGAAATGAATAATGAAACCCACAGCAGAGTTTAAAGGACCGAAATAACTGAGATGGAGGTAAAGACGAGGCACAAACAARGCTGATGAGACTGTAAATACTCTCCCAGAAAGCATTGCAACAGCGACCGTCTTCATCCGAAAGCGGCACTGACGCTGCAGCCTGATGTTGACTGTAATTTACAGAAACACAGAACATGTGTTTTCAGAACGGTTCTGCCCGCAGACGAGGCTGCAGCTCAAAACCTCAAACGCACACGTGCACCACACAGGGTGGGAGAGAGCGGCGTGTTTGCGTGTGTGTTCACCATTTGTGAACAACAACACAGAAGACGTGTGCAACAATTAGCTCCTGAGAGGACCTTTTACCCTTCAAATACTGTTTTAATGGGTATTTGTGGACCTTTTGTACTTTAACCCTCCCAGGTTTCCTGACACACACAAACACATGAACACATGCTGGAAATGGTGTTTAGTAAAAGCATTCATTTCAACGAGACATTTTCAGGAACATTACTCGAAGCTATACACCCTAAAAAAAAATAATAAAATCAAGCTTCAACCATGTTTGCATGAATCCTATTCTAACTCCAGAGCCCTGATGTTGTAGTCGTCACACACACACACACGGACAAATTTCTGAAAACGTGAACACACTCCGGTCATGCACACAGAGATAAAAGCTATCTATGGAAGGAGAAACATGCATGTTTTTATGCAACACAAGGACTAACCATCCAAGTTGCATGATGAGATATCATCAGAAAATAASCAGCTCTGGTATTTTCTGGAGATATCATTGGTTACAATTCGATCTCGGATGTGCTGAAGATGTGTCGAAGTTTACTTCTTCTTTAGAACTTGAGTTTTTTTTTACTAAATGGTAGCTCAAAACACATTTGTTAGAATTATCTTCATGAAGCGGCCTTACAGACTTTGATTTGATCAGGAAAGGTTCACAGCTTTCATAGTGGGTTTCTACTTGTAGCTCTTTCAAGATTTCACTTGAAGAAATAGAGTTTAGTTCTGATAAGATTCAATAACTAACCATTGTAGTGCAGGGCGTCTGCAACCTGTGGCTCTTTGGTCCCACTGCAGCGGCTCTTTGAAGCTTTGACCAAATCTAAAGTTAGATTAAAATTTTAGTTTTCAAATTTGTGATCAATAACACAAGCAGTGAAACATGATTGGATCAAGTTAGTTTGTTGGCCACTTCAGTAATCCAACTTCTAGCCTTAAAGTATGGTCCAAATCTAACAGGGTTACCTTTAAATACCTTCAAGACAAGACTAGATGATAATAATAATAATAATAATAACAACAATAATAACAACAATAACAATAATAATAATAACAATAACAACAACAACAACAACAACAACAACAACAATAATAATAATAATAATAATAATAATGAGAAGAAGAAGAAGAATAAAAAGAATAAGAATAAGAAAAATAAGAAGATGAAGAAGAAGAAGATGAAGAATGGCTGCATGTAGTTCAGTTTTAGTTTGTATTAGATGCAGTATGAACTATGTACAGTTCTTTTCTTGTTTACGGTCTTTTCTTTTGTCCTAAAATGCAGAAATAATAATAAACAGTAAAATCTGCCATAGTTTTAATCACCCCACTGACTGGAAAATCCACCCATCTACAAACTCAAGGTGGCCCACGGGCCACCACTTGATAATCACAGCTGTAGCGTATTTTGCAGCTCCAGACACATTTTATTAGTGAGCCGAGGAGCAGACATGTTTGCTTTGATTCTAAAGGTTGCAGACCCCTGCACTAGTCTAATAAGAGCCAAGACCAAAGTGAGTTGCTGCCATTTTAAAACATTTCCAGTTTCCACATTGGTTCATGCAAAAGCTATTTTATYAACCTGTACTTGGTCAGTTTCACGTTACACAGTTCCTGCAGCAGAAATATTATGATAATCCTCCAGGAAGTGCCCCAGGCTGTACCAGGAGTGTACAGCTATTTGCTGCTACTTGTATTTTCTTATAAAAAAACATATTTTTTCATGTAAATAACCTATTTTAGGATATTAACAACCTAATTTGGTCTTGGCATAGCTTGGACCACCTTAGTTTGTTAATCTGGTCAAAAAGAAACTTCCCTTTTTTAAATTAAGGCCCTTCAGAGGTGCTCCTAATTAGTTTTGTAAAAAGATGACTTAAAAAATAAACTAAAATCATYCAGTTTCAGCTGACTTGCTTGGTTTACATGTGTTTTGTCAAGTAAGAGTTTGTTTTTTTCTTTACTTTCAACTGCYTTCCAGCAGAAAGGAACCCTGAAACCGTATAAGAATCACCCTATTTGAAACATTTCGGTTTCGTCACACAGGAAACAGATGTCGTCACGCTCCTACATCACCTTTTATGGTAATTATTCTTTGTACAGCGACACAGTGCCATCACCTCGCGCGGGGGTCTGTTGCTGCACCAACCTAATTAGCAATTAACAAATCGTATAGTCCTGAAAACACGGGCTGCTGGGATTCACTGGGGAACAGAGGCTGTCAGAAAGGAAAGAAAGAAAAGTTGAGTATTGCCACTCTTCTTTGAGGCACATGTAACACATGGAGATATTATTTGCATGTTAATAAAAAAAAAAAAGCGAGTTCTTGTTTCTTTTGTTCGTGGKTGTGTTGTTTTGTCTCAACAGAAASGGGGTAGTTGGTGGAAAACAGAACATTCTCCGTCTTTGGTGCAATGTTTTTTTTTTTGCCCTGAGGCCCAACACAATTAACACCCACTGCCAACTAGTAGGGTCTAAGTGTGTGTGTGTGTGTGTGTGTGTGTGTG